GAAGCATTTGAAGGTGTAATGTTTTCATTAATATTTATTTTATAGATAATAACTGTAATTGTAACATTAAGTAATGAGAGCTTTTCGAAAATGCTGAATCAATTGAACCAATTGCTTCACAAAATGATTCACTCTTTCGACGTTTGATATGCTCTGTGAGCCATTGGTTTTGAAGCTACATGAAGCAGTGTTTCAAAAGCACCCTTCACTTTATCAGATATTATCAGAAGCTACATGTTTACTTTGGTTCTTTTATATAAATCTTTTATTGATCTTGTCGACAGGATCTAGAAGGGTTTTTCCAGGAGGACGAACAGGATGCTTTTCACCTCAAGAACAACATCCCTCCGCACATGCCCAAAAGAGGCCAACAAGCATCTCTGCAAGGGTATTTCCTGTTTTTGGGTTTCTTTCCCAACTATACCACAGCGGGATGGTGCCTTATTCAGTTTGCCTCATCATTAAGAAGCACAAAAAGCATGAACCACCTCAACCGGTTTGACTGAAACTGATGAGTTTGGCTTTTTGTGTTGTCTTCAGAGGAGGACAGGTGGCAGTTCAGAGCAGGCAGGCAGATGCGCCACCCGCCCCTCAGGAACAGGGTCCGCCCAGGAAACCTCAGCGTAACCAGATCAAAGAGATGGAGTTCATTACCGTCCCAGAGTTTGACAGCATACCACCGTGAGTCCTTCCACATCTGTCTAAACAAAGTCTGTGAGCAAATATAGTAAAGAACAGTAAACAGTAGCTCTTTTCCAAAACCCAGTGAGCCGCCTACCTAGACAGCATTGTAGGCGCGATGCTGTTGCGAAAGGTAGGCTACCATCGGAGATACCGTCTTTTGGCAATCCCAGAATACACTGTGACATGATTATTGTTCAGTAACAAAAACATATGGAAAGACTATTTTTCTGTTTTACCTAATATTTATGTGCTATACATTTTTGATTATAGCATGCTGTTAGCTTCGTAATATTTTGTTTTTTACACCCAACTTTATAGAGTGCAACAGTGGCAAGTATTTTACTCATTCGTTTTTCCCATAGGGATTTTAAAAAGTCCTAAAGAGCTTAAGCCATGACAAGGTGCTTTACAAACTTTTATTTGAAGCAAAAAAAAAGTTTCAAGCAAAAAAAGATTACAAGACTGTGTACTTCACGGCTTTAGTGATGGAAATAACTACAATCCCATGAAGCATTGCAAATCACAGTCAAATTGGAAATGATAGTGAAATATAAAACTATTAATTTTAAAGTTGTTGATTATATCTATAGAACCAATATGTTGTTGTACTGTTTTCTGATTGGTGGAGATTTCTTTGCAGAATCATTGGTAATGTAGTTTTCACTGTTTAATGCGATTGTTTAAAAAGTATGTTGAAATAATGTGGGCTGATGTCTTTAACAAAAGCATAAACCATCGATTAACAACCTCGTAGCTCACAGTAGGTCTGTTTTTAACAATTTATTTAACAAGTTATTGTTAACAATCAATTCCCCTATGGAGAAATTGAATGGGATTTTTACTTACGGAACTCAGCTGTTGCACTTGATTAAAAGCAATGGTCGGGTACAAAGTGCTATTTGAGTGCTGAGTTGCTACAGTACCTATGTAGAATGTCTCAAACTGGTTACTTATGACTATTCATTTTGGTTAGGAATGTAGTTACCAATGTAGGCAGTCGAAAGCAAGAGAGCCCACTAGGTTTTGGAACAGGAATGCCATGATTAACCAATCAGAACCAAGCATCCCAGAGAACAGTTGTAATGAGGTTCTGTTTTAATTCAGCATCTTTCAGATGTTTGGTAAAATTCACATGCAGTTTATTCATTTTATCCATTTCTTGATCTTCTCTTGTGCTGTCACAGGTACATGAAAGGCCGTGTGACGTACGACCAGCTGAACGCAGCGGTGCAAAGCATAAACACAGCTGTGACGTCAAAATATAAGATCCTCCATCAGCCAGTCAAAACCCTGAACAATGTGTCCCGCACGCTCCACCAGCGCTTTAAAGACCAAGAAACAAAGGACACCAAGGGTATCATCGTTTTATCTGTCTGTCTCGTCCAGAGCTGCTGGTCAAAGGCTTATTTGACCTAATTTAGCACTGCAGTCCATCATGTATTAACAGTCTTGTCATATCGAGAATTGAGAGTCTACTGTTTGCTCCAGAAAACTATTAACGCCACCAGCGCATGAACTGATATAAGTGCTCCGATAACTAAGGTCATTTATCCTGGTCTGGTATTTAATAAGCTCTTATGGGCTGAAAGAGGTCATCCATCAACTCCTTTTGTTTCCTGCAGGTCAGTTTTTCATCGTGGAGCAAGATATCAGAGAGTTTGCCCAGCTGAAAGTGGACAAACGGTTTGTGGGCATGTTGAACATGTTACGCCACTGCCAGCGTCTGAGGGAAGTCCGAGGCGGCGGTCTCACACGCTTCATCCTGCTCTAAGACTCAGAGACGCCCACATCTACATCACATCGCTTTGAATGGAGTTTTGAAAGGGACTATGCACTAAAAGATACATGTTTGTTTGAGAGCTGTTTGCCGTGGAATGAACTTCAGTGTCCATTTGATTAAAAATAGAAATTGTCAAATCATCTTGATGTGCATCTACTCAGTCTGAGGCCTAAAACCTGGCAGAGAACTGGATTTATGGGTAAACATCAATTACACACAGTCAAACATCAAATGCTGAAACCTTTGTGTGCTTGAAAGATGTTGCTAATAAATTATATAATGATTTCAGAACTGACATTTGGTATAACTTTGTGTAATTTATTGTAGAATAAAAACTGAACAAACGTCTCTTCAATTAATGTCAACAACAGACTTAATTTGCTCATAAATCCAGAAGCGTTGTTCTAAAAATCCATTAGAAATTCCCAAGGGCATCCCATGGTGAATTAGCATTCCGGGTCGGCCTACAAATTGACATCGTGAATTAACAGTTGGGTCGCTTTATCTGTGATGATGAAATTATAAATTGAGTGCTGTATTGATGGAAAGTGGAAAATATTGGAGCTTAAATAAAATTGCAGTTTTTGTAACCTCATCTCAAATGTCAGTGTCATTTCAACAGTTTTGACATTTTAGTTTTATTAATTTTTGAGACAAAAGAAACCGCTTGAGTTCGAAGTACCCGAGAGACGTGTGAAGATGAATCCGACTCGTCAACTTTACCCTGCATTTGTCACCCAAAACTCAACCAAGCATGAAAAGTTACATATCAACTAAGTTAGGCATTTCTGTTCTTGCTTTGTCATCTTCATTTGTTAGAAAGACATAAAGACTCCATGCAGAGGACGCTGCATTTGCACATACAATGACGAGGGCTTTAAGAGAACTGGTAGGCCAACTGTTACATTACATCATTGTTGGATTGTCCAGTTTTCACAAACATTTTTCCGTTTTTGCAGGCGAGAAGCCCTGTGCTTGTTGCAGCCATTTTTATATCAGGAATAGGAGGAACCTTTCAATACGGCTTCCATATCTCTGTCCTTAACTCACCATCACTTGTAAGTACCTGCGTTGTTCGATTATAAAGTGTCTTAGACTGATTTACTGTCTCTTTTGAGCTGCAAATCGAGGGGTTGGAGGTAGTCAGTATTAATCAAATGCATTTCTGCCACTGTCATAAGATGAGACATCCCCAAAGAATCAATACATATCAGAGCTTATGAGTTGGTGCTAACCTGTGAAGCGCTGTGGTTCAATAAAAGGAAATCAATGACATAATCAACTGAGACTTGTGCTTACATTGCAAGTTTATTAAAGAGCTGGTGAACAGCACCTGCCAGCAGCGTTATGGCCGCTCTCTTGAGCCCTGGGAGCTGTCCCTCATCTGGTCCTTCATTGTGTCCATGTACTGCATGGGAGGACTGGCTGGAACCCTGTATGCTGGACATCTGGCAGGAGCGTATGGAAGGTACTGGAAGTGCCTTTTAAACATGTCAAAGTAACATTATAAATGTCTTTACTGTCATGTTTGATCAATTTAATGTATCTTTATAAAGTATTAATTTCTTTAAAAAAAAAAATGGTAGCGTAACTAGGTTGATTTTCAGGTGCTTACATGGATCCTTCCATATTTCTGCATTTTCAGAAGCATCTGTGGTATTGAGCATTCTTAGAGTGTGAATCAATAACCAAATGGCAGCAATTCAACGAGTAACATGGGCTTTTAATTCCAGAATTGACCTGAAATGATGCTAAGGGCAACAAACAGCCACTGATATTTCTTCAAACCAGTCTAACCTACATTAATGCTCTCCAGGTTCTGTTCTGTTCCTGTAACCCAACTGACGCAGCAAAAATGAAAAATGTTAATGTTCTTGCTAGGTGTAATATTTCTTACATGGATAGTTCACCCAAAAATGCAAATTATGTCATCATTTACTCACCCTCATCTTGTACAAACCTGTATACATTTATTTTTCTTCATAAAAAAAAGATGTTTAGCAGAATGTTGCTACTGTATTCCAAGCAGTTAAATTAAATGGTGACCAGGAGCTGCCAAGCTAAAAAAAATGACAAAATGCACCATAAAAGTAGTCCACATATATGACTTGTGCACTATATTTCATGTATGGCTTTAAAATACAGCCCCTGGTTACCATTCACTTTTATTGAATGGTAAATAGCAGCATGAACATCCTGCCAAACATCTCTTTTTCATATGGGTTTGGAATGCCATGAGGGAGAGTAAATTATGACATTTTCTTTTTTTGGTAAACTTGAAATTTGTGGTTTCAAGTACAAGTATAAATTGAGTGCTGTATTGATGGAAAGTGGAAAATATTGGAGCTTAAATAAAATTGCAGTTTTTGTAACCTCATCTCAAATGTCAGTGTCATTTCAACAGTTTTGACATTTTAGTTTTATTAATTTTTGAGACAAAAGAAACAGCTTGAGTTCGAAGTACCCGAGAGACGTGTGAAGATGAATCCGACTCGTCAACTTTACCCTGCATTTGTCACCCAAAACTCAACCAAGCATGAAAAGTTACATATCAACTAAGTTAGGCATTTCTGTTCTTGCTTTGTCATCTTCATTTGTTAGAAAGACATAAAGACTCCATGCAGAGGACGCTGCATTTGCACATACAATGACGAGGGCTTTAAGAGAACTGGTAGGCCAACTGTTACATTACATCATTGTTGGATTGTCCAGTTTTCACAAACATTTTTCCGTTTTTGCAGGCGAGAAGCCCTGTGCTTGTTGCAGCCATTTTTATATCAGGAATAGGAGGAACCTTTCAATACGGCTTCCATATCTCTGTCCTTAACTCACCATCACTTGTAAGTACCTGCGTTGTTCGATTATAAAGTGTCTTAGACTGATTTACTGTCTCTTTTGAGCTGCAAATCGAGGGGTTGGAGGTAGTCAGTATTAATCAAATGCATTTCTGCCACTGTCATAAGATGAGACATCCCCAAAGAATCAATACATATCAGAGCTTATGAGTTGGTGCTAACCTGTGAAGCGCTGTGGTTCAATAAAAGGAAATCAATGACATAATCAACTGAGACTTGTGCTTACATTGCAAGTTTATTAAAGAGCTGGTGAACAGCACCTGCCAGCAGCGTTATGGCCGCTCTCTTGAGCCCTGGGAGCTGTCCCTCATCTGGTCCTTCATTGTGTCCATGTACTGCATGGGAGGACTGGCTGGAACCCTGTATGCTGGACATCTGGCAGGAGCGTATGGAAGGTACTGGAAGTGCCTTTTAAACATGTCAAAGTAACATTATAAATGTCTTTACTGTCATGTTTGATCAATTTAATGTATCTTTATAAAGTATTAATTTCTTTTAAAAAAAAATGGTAGCGTAACTAGGTTGATTTTCAGGTGCTTACATGGATCCTTCCATATTTCTGCATTTTCAGAAGCATCTGTGGTATTGAGCATTCTTAGAGTGTGAATCAATAACCAAATGGCAGCAATTCAACGAGTAACATGGGCTTTTAATTCCAGAATTGACCTGAAATGATGCTAAGGGCAACAAACAGCCACTGATATTTCTTCAAACCAGTCTAACCTACATTAATGCTCTCCAGGTTCTGTTCTGTTCCTGTAACCCAACTGACGCAGCAAAAATGAAAAATGTTAATGTTCTTGCTAGGTGTAATATTTCTTACATGGATAGTTCACCCAAAAATGCAAATTATGTCATCATTTACTCACCCTCATCTTGTACAAACCTGTATACATTTATTTTTCTTCATAAAAAAAAGATGTTTAGCAGAATGTTGCTACTGTATTCCAAGCAGTTAAATTAAATGGTGACCAGGAGCTGCCAAGCTCAAAAAAATGACAAAATGCACCATAAAAGTAGTCCACATATATGACTTGTGCACTATATTTCATGTATGGCTTTAAAATACAGCCCCTGGTTACCATTCACTTTTATTGAATGGTAAATAGCAGCATGAACATCCTGCCAAACATCTGTTTTTCATATGGGTTTGGAATGCCATGAGGGAGAGTAAATGATGACAACATTTTATTTTTTTGGTAAACTTGAAATTTGTGGTTTTTAAATTAATGTACAAGGAGGAAGCATCTGTGGTATTGAGCATTCTTAGAGTGTGAATCAATAACCAAATGGCAGCAATTCAACGAGTAACATGGGCTTTTAATTCCAGAATTGACCTGAAATGATGCTAAGGGCAACAAACAGCCACTGATATTTCTTCAAACCAGTCTAACCTACATTAATGCTCTCCAGGTTCTGTTCTGTTCCTGTAACCCAACTGACGCAGCAAAAATGAAAAATGTTAATGTTCTTGCTAGGTGTAATATTTCTTACATGGATAGTTCACCCAAAAATGCAAATTATGTCATCATTTACTCACCCTCATCTTGTACAAACCTGTATACATTTATTTTTCTTCATAAAAAAAAGATGTTTAGCAGAATGTTGCTACTGTATTCCAAGCAGTTAAATTAAATGGTGACCAGGAGCTGCCAAGCTAAAAAAAATGACAAAATGCACCATAAAAGTAGTCCACATATATGACTTGTGCACTATATTTCATGTATGGCTTTAAAATACAGCCCCTGGTTACCATTCACTTTTATTGAATGGTAAATAGCAGCATGAACATCCTGCCAAACATCTCTTTTTCATATGGGTTTGGAATGCCATGAGGGAGAGTAAATTATGACATTTTCTTTTTTTGGTAAACTTGAAATTTGTGGTTTCAAGTACAAGGAGCAGCAAATAAGTACAGTGTGTTTTTAACCCTCCATAGGAAGACAACTCTGCTTTTGAACAATGTGGTGGCAATCTGTGGAGCTGTCCTGATGTTGTTGAGTAAAACCGCCCTCTCGTTTGAGATGATCATGGTGGCACGTGTCCTATACGGCATCAACGCTGGTGTGTTGGAAAATCTGTAAATGCATGCGAATGTCTTTTTAATTCTGTGCTGTTTTTCTATATTAACTACTTGAGTGCTATCCGTGCAGGTGTGAGTTTGACTGTCCACACCATGTATATATTGGAGTGCGCCCCCAAGAGGCTGCGTGGGATGGTTGGTGTGTCTGTGGCCACTTTTGTCTCAATGGGGAAGTTTTTTGGCCAGCTGCTCGGGATCAGGTGTGTCATTAACAGCAGGTTTATCTTCCTTGTTACATTCGCTGTCCATGTGTTAACCAAACATTTGAACTTTTAAAGATTTAAACTTTAAAGCTTGGGTTTTGAGTGTGATTTGTGTGTGTGTGTGTCAGTGAGGTGTTAGGCACTGAGGAGCACTGGGTCTGGCTGCTGGCCTTCAGCGGGGCGGCTGGTCTCCTGCAGCTACTGACTCTGCCCTTTCTCCCTGAGTCCCCACGGTACCTCCTGCTGGAGAAGGCAGACAAACACGGCTGTGAGACGGGTCAGAACCACAGACACCTCCTTTGACATTTACACATACATTTATATTTCTTACACAATTCATCTCAAATCATTTGTTCAAAATGTGGGGCCATGTCATGGGAAAACAGTACATTACTGTTAAAGATTTTTTTTGTTTTCAAATTAAATTTTTATGTTTGTGCTCTAATGTTTTTAGACATGTTTTAACTTTGTTTAGTCAAATATCATTTTCATATATATATACATATATATATATATAAAATATTTTTAAAGAAATTAATACTTTTATTCCTCAAGAATGCAATAAATTGATCAAAAGTGACAGTAAAGTTAAAAATTCTGTTATTAAATAATAAATGCTAAAAAAACTATTCATCAAAGAATTCTGACATGAAATGAAATCTATCACGGTTTCCACAAAAATATGAAACAACACCAGTGGCACTGTTTTCAACATTGATAATAAGAAATGGTTACTATATTAGAATTATTTCTGAAGGATCATGTGACACTGAAGACTGGAGTAATGATGCTGAAAATTCAGCTTTGACATCAAAGGAATAAACTACATTAAAAAAAATATTAAAATAGAAAACAATTATTTTAAATTGTAATAATATCTCACAATATTGCTGTTTTTACTGTATTTTTGATCAAATAAATAATGCTTGGTGAGCATAAGAGTCTTCTTTCAAAAACATTAAAAACTCCTACCAATAACTAAATAAAGTACACAAAAAAAACCTACCATCTAGTGTACATGAATGCAAACACTTCTAGCTACTCAAGTTAAAATAAAATAATAAAAGGAATTTGTAACACAACACATTCTCGCCATTGGCTAAAAATGTAAAAATGTATTTTGGCGAGTTATTTGATGATGTTCAATATGTCTCAGCTCTGCGCAGGCTGTGGGGAGCTAAAAAGGACCCTGGGCCAGAGATGGAGGAGATGTTGGCTGAACACGCCTCCCTAAAGGGAGTGAAGATCCACGGGCTCATGGACCTCTTCCTCGACCACAACGTCCGCTGGCAGCTCCTCACCGTCCTCGTCACATTCGTCACGCTGCAGCTCTGCGGCATCAATGCTGTGAGCCACAAAACGTCGCAGTGCCACCCACACCTGAAAACGATTGATCCGAGAATGCGTATTTCATCAAAACACACAACCATATGCCACAGTCTGTTCAGGAAATGGGCTTGATGGCTTCACATTGCAAGATAATTTATTTAATTCTTCTTTTTGATGAAAGCCACTGCCATTCTTTTCATCATTCAGTTTCAAAGATGAATAATGGAACTTAAAGATATTGTTGTTCACATGGCCTGTGAATCATGTCTTCGCAGGTCTATCTCTATTCGTTTGATGTGTTTCAAGCGGCCGGTATTGCCGAGGAGAACCTGCGCTATGCCGCCCTGGGAACAGGCCTGTGTGAAGTCTCCACCTCCATTGCCTGCGTGAGCCGCTCTTTCTCACCCAGATATTTAATCTAAGCTCAAAACATCATGTGGCCTGGTTTAAAGGTACCTACTGTTGGTGTTTGTGTGTTTGTTTACGGTGTGTTATTTTTATCCAGGTGCTGATCATTGAGAGCACAGGGAAGAGAGTGCTTCTCTTTAGGGGTTACCTGTGCATGGCTGCCTCACTGGCCCTGCTTACACTCACACTTTACCTTCAGGTTTGCTTGTTTTTTTATTCAAGTTTTATTAATTACATCATATTTTCAAATCATATACAGTAGGTTTTATGGTTAATTATTGAGTCAGAAGACAAGTTATAGTTTCCATGCATGGCAAATAATTCAGTTATTAACAAGAAGAGTGCTGATTGTGACGTGATTTAAATTGCAGCTACATTTAAAGGGATAGTTCACCCAAAAAATTACATTTAGTCAGCATTTAATCTTATTCCAAACCCATATGATTATCTATCAACACACAAAGAGATGTTTTGCAGAATATCAAACTTTAGTTTTCATATAATCACAGAGACTACAGCTTCAAAAAAGACAAAAACCATCATGAATGTTTAATAAAAGTAGTACTCTCGCACTATATTTAGGGCCCTACGAAATACGTTATTTTTCTCTCTCAAATTCCGTTTTATTTTTACCTAATTCTGTGTTTTCCATTTTAATTTTCAGCATTCCACTTTAATAGTTTAATTAAGTTTTAATAATCAAACGCATCTGTAATTAATTGATTTAATAAAAAACAACAACTTTATTATTATTTTATTTATGTATTTATTTTTATTTTATTTTTTAAATACTGTGTGTATTTAAATTTTTCTGGTAAATAAATGAAGGCATAAAACAATTGATCTTTTATGTTTTTAATCAAATGAAAATTAAACAAACCCATCCATTTTTTGGCAAACAAAGTACTGCACAACAGAAGTTTACGTTTAAAATTAAAACATGGAAGAAACATTGTGTGATTATTCCTTAAAAAATAATGTTTTAAAAATAATTTTATTAGTAGTAGTAGTACTGTTATTACATTAAGTAATATATTTCTGTCACAGTTTCTTCAAGTTAAACCAAACTTTTATTTTGACGGATTGCTGTGAAGACCTTTAAGTTTCTGTGTGTATATGATATGACGATCGTTTTTTTCTCAAATGAAACAGTAAAATAAAGTGACTCAGAGCAGCTCTAGAGATAATGTTCATGTTCATGTTCATGTGCACAGATGTGGAGCTTCAAAAATGTATCATAAATGTGAACCATGTGCTATATTTCATGTCCTCTGCAGTCATATAATTTTGTGTGAGAAACAGACTAAATTTAAGTCAATATTCACAGGATGTTCACCACAGCTCTTAAATCTCAAGTTGCTTATTTTACGGAACTATCAATCTTTAAAAACACACAAAAAAGCTTCATAAATATAGTTTTGTGTGAGAAACGGATGGAAATTTAAGACGTTATCCACAGAAAACCGTCGCCACAGCTCTCAAATCTCATTCATACTTCTACATATTCCACATATTTTGCGTTTCCACAAAGAATGTCATAAGAGTTTTGAACAATATGGTAAGAAATGAAATCACTTTAAGTGAGACAAACCAGCAAATAAGCATTAAAGGGGTCGTATGATGCGATTTCAAGTTTTCCTTTCTCTTTGGAGTGTTACAAGCTGTTCATGAATAGATAAGATCCCTAAAGTTGCAAAGACTAAGGTCTCAAACCCAAAGAGATATTCTTTATAAAAGTTAAGACTCGTCCACGCCCTCCTAAAACGCCTCGTTTAAACACTCCCCCACGTCTACGTCACGATGTGGGAAGATTTGCATAACGCCGCCCAAATGTTCACGCAAAGAAAGAAGGCGTAACTTTATTGTTGCTGCTGCC